GTTATTTTTTGAGTCTATATTAGATTATCCTAAATTTTTATAAAAAAATAGAAATTAAAAAAAAATCCATAAACACAAAAATAAATCAACTTACCTATATTGAAAAAAATAATAATAATTTATGTTTATCTTTATAAAGAGAAATTAGCTATGTGTATTTAAAAATTCATTTATGCTGCATTTTTATATAAGATGGAAAATTAGATAGTTTAAATCATATAGTCCTGCAATATATTTTGTACATTGAAAGGTCCCAAGTCAATGTTATTTACATTTAAGCCCACAAATGTGATGCGTGGATTGGCTGTTTGGCGAGGTAAATTAAGTGTTTAAGTGATGTTGTAGTTACCAAGATGCCCAAAACCATACTATAGTAATTTTTTTCTTTTCCCTCCATTGCGAACAAAATGAAAGCTCAAAAATTGAAACTTCAATGTTTCCTTATAGATGTTGCAGTGTTGATCCTCATTTTGTGTGAATTGGACGTTGGACTTGGTAATGTTGCACCTAACATTCTTTATTCCTCAAATAACATTACAGAACCCCTTCAAAAACCTAAAAAATTCAAAAAGCCCTTCTTGCAAATTTACAAAGGTGAAGCGGCGTTGGCACTAAGACATCTAGGAGTGCGATTACCGTTGTCGACGTAACATCGACGATTTCACATCAATCCGTTGGCGGCAGTGTTGATCGTGCATTGGTGCGATGATAATAGGTATAGGTGTCTTTGATGTTACTTTGGTAGTTTGCGGAACAATACGACATCAAGGTCGATACTCGAAATGGGACGTTGTTTAAATGGTGCGTAATGTACGGTTTTAGGTGATGTTGTTAATATCGTGGTTTTAGGGGTTACTAGTAACACCAAATGTGATGTTGTGCATTTACGTAATGTGACAGACATATAGTGTTTTAGTTAATGTTTGTATGATTGGTTATGTCTCATGTAATGTTATTATTTTCGCAAGTATGGGGGTTACCAGTGGTTGCAAATGTGATATTGTGCATGTATATAATCTAACCGACGTATTGTTTTCATTTAATGTTGTTATGATTGTTTGGATCTCTTGCAATGTTAGTATTGTTGGAGGCCAGTAGGAGGATAACATAAATAATGTAATACCAAGTAGGTAACATCAACTATTCCCACAATTATTCCATGAAATTCCTAAAAAAATGAAAATGTTAAATCATATCTTGCTAGAGGTATTCGCGGATCGGTTTTGTGCGGTTTGCGGTTTGGTTTTGACCCGCCCGCATCTATGTGGTTTAGGAAAAAGTCAACCCGCAACCGCCCGCAGTGCGGTTTGCAGTTTGTGCCGATAGGGTTTGTAGATGTGCGGGCGGTTGCGGGCGATTTGCGGTTTACACTTTTTTCTTTAAAAATTAATTTTTAATTTTTTTTCCCATCGAATTTAGGCATTAGATTCATTTTATATACTTGTGATCATTTGACAACAATTTTTCGATGAGTTTACAAATAAAAATTGAATATCACTAGCATTTTTGCCATGAAAAAAATGTATATCAATGCATTAACGGTTGTACTCAATTATAATTGCCAATTTAGAAATCAATAATCAAACTAGAAGCTTTATCGACCATCAGAAGAAAAATTTTATTAGGAAAAAGTGGATGAGTCATCAATGAAAATCATATAAGAAACCAAGTTTAGGACGTGATAATTCTACGACATTAAGAAAATTGAGAAATACTTAAAAATAAGGATCCTAGTGTCATAGAGAACATAATGGTGCTCCTGTTAAAGTTACAAAGTTGGTATATAAAAAAAAAATAATAATAATAATAATTAAAGTACAGGCGGTTTTTGCAGGTTGCGGGTTTAACCTGCGACGCGCCCACAACCTGCAAATTTGTCATATTTCAAACCGCATCCGCTCGCATTATGTTTGCGAAACCGTCCATTTATATGCAGGTTGGGCGGGTTGAGCGATTCGGATAAACCGTTGCCCACCCCTATATCTTGCCCACATACACTCAAATCCCAAAAAAATATCAAAACCAAATCTCAAACAAGGGCAAATAAGTAAACTCTAATATTATTAAATCAAATCAATAATACCTACTACAAATAAAAATGGCTAATTGATTTATAAAAAAAATATATAGGACTAAATGGACTAACATTTCCTCAAATAAAATTTATGAGTAGTTTTTTTATATAAGATTTCAAAAATAATTTAGAAAGGAAAAAGAAAAGAGAAATAAAAAAAATTAACTTATATTTCATTTATTTTTTCACTTTTTTTTTTTTTGTTCTTTCTAAATCGTTATTTAAATTTGTGATCCAAATGCGGGAGCTTCTATTTACACACACCAAATACCCTCTTTGCACACACTTAACGATATTTAATTTTATTACAATTTTATCCTTAAATGAAATTACTATTTTAGACATCTACCCATTTCAAAAGTCTCAATGCACACACATCCATCACGTTGAAGCTGAAGTGAGCATCACAGAGTCGAAGTTAGTCATCCATCAAGTTGGACTCACCTTCACAGAGCATCACTTATTCTTCATTCATCATTGTTTTGGAGGATTTGCATTGGAAATGAGCAGAGTTCGATTTGCCTGTAGAGGATATCCAAATGAGCATCACTTTTTTTTTTTTCCAGCGTCGTTCAGATTACCAAGGTCGGATTGTATTATTTGGTTCAGAAATCTACAACCGAAATAATTATTTACTTTCGGAAGTTGTTGTCCGAACAAATTTATTAATTTCGGAACTTGTTGTTCGAACAAAGTATTTAAATTTGGAAGTTGTTTTCTGAACAAAGTTAACTTGTACAACATTCAACTTCCGAAATTTTAAAAAAAATTCGGACAACTACTTCCGAATGAAGTAATTGTTTTTTTTCCATTTTATATTCCAAATTTGCAAACTGCAAACTAAATTTACAGTTTCGAATTGCAAATTTATGTTTATAATGCCATTAAAAATTTGTAATGTTATACAAAATGTAAATGTTTAAAAATTTGTAATGTCAATTCACATGGATTTTATGGATTCACATGGATTTTAATATTAGTAAATGTTTAAAAATTTGTAATGTCAATTCACATGTTTAAAAATGTTTAAAATTTTGTAATGTCAATTCACATGTTTAAAAATGTTTAAAAATTTGTAATGTCAATTCACATGGATAAAAATTTGTAATATTAGTAAATGTTTAAAAATTTGTAATGTCAATTCATATGGATTTTATGTTTCGAATTGCTCACCAAATGTAAATGTTTGATAATAAGAAAATATCACTTACAAAATCAATGACCACTGTTACCATTCCATTCTAAAAATAAAATGTCATTACAATGTCATTACAATGTCATTACAATACCATTGTTGCCATTCCATTGTAATAAGAAAAATGTTAATCACTGTTACCATTACAACAATATCATCTTACAAAAATCACCAAAACAAATTCATCAACACGCAAATAACATGTCACGAATCAGCTGTATGCCTACGCCTAGGCCTACGACTGTATGTCAATGTCGAAGATGGAAAGTGACCTCCAGCAGAACTAGGTCCAGCAGAACTAGGTCCAGCTTCGTCAATGTGCTGACCTTCAAGAACATGTGTCATACTCTCGATAGCCTGGTAAAGTCGATAAGGATGGCGAATCCCCTTCTGATAACCAGCGTCAATAATAGGATGTGAAATCTGCAGTGCATGTGCAATACGCTGCATTTGAAAAGAATATCACATTTTAGGGAACATATCAGAAAAAAAACTGGAGATTAGAAGCTTGTTGACGAACCGATAAGTGCAACGAGCAAACTGTGACAGTCCAAACTGCTCAATAATGGCTTTGAATCTGGTGTTGTTCTCTACTAACCACCATGGCCATGCAAGGATCTTGGAAGAGTGATTTTGACACTTTAGGGGCCCTCGTTCCTACAATACAAATGATATCTCATTACAAACTACCATACAACACACACACACACAAAAAAAACCTCATATACAAATAAATTCCAGTTTTACTGAGGAATGTTTACCTCCCCGTGCCAAATAGCTGCAGCCACATGACTATTGAAACTCCGCAGTATTGACGGATTAGTCGGTCCACCTAGAATAGCATGAGTAAGGTACTCTTCCTGGACAAGAGGAGAATCAGGTAAAGAGGTATCCTCCATAGCAATGTCATGCATATCATAACCTTCAACTCGTCTTTGGCTTCGGCCCCCACTTTGACTGGCACTGGGAATATCATATTCTACCGAAACTGGGTCACGACCTTGACTACGACCTTGACCTCGTCCTCGCCCACGCCCTCGTCCCCGTTCATGGTCTACATCCAATTCACGACGTCGTCTATTTGAAGCAGTAGGTGGGACACGTTGTTGACA